TTAAGAATCTAAAAAAGGTCCTGAGACTAAAAAGTTTGATAACCACGAGCCAATGAGTGAACGATTTTCTGTGCACAACATTTTCGTCTCTAATCTTTCTCCCAGAATCTTTTTTTTTTTCCTTTGCTTCATGATATTTTTTCCTTGGGTATTGAAAACTTAAGACATTCTAGTTTTACACAATATGAAAATCACCATTTCTGTGTCTGCTAAAGTCATTCTTTAAACGATGTATCTCTTATGGTGGTTAGCTAAAATTGGAATAATCTTTACTGGCACATCTATTCCTATAGACACTTTGGCCATCACTCAATCTGTGAATCCATTTTCTATTTCAATCTGTCCTTACTTGGTCCAGGTGCTAGAGAGCAGAGCTCAGAGAGACTTTAGCTTCATAGCTCAGCCTTTTTTGATGATTAAAAATCTCCTTCTTTGACCTAATATCTGACCATTTGAATGAAACTTGGAGGTTGTGACTGGAAAATTTGGTGGGGGGGGGGGGAGAGGCAGACCAGGCTCCCCCTCAACTTTTAACATTGGAATTAACCATTTAGGAGGTTCATGTTAATTGCAATTCTAACAATGGGCCAGATTAAAAGATCCATCTGGATGATTCCAAGCACTTTGATTCACTAAGTAACCTCCCCCAGACATTTTCCAGGAGAAAAAAGTCAACTCCATTTAACATCATTTAATATGTAAGTAGAATAGGAATGTGTGTAACTTGTGATAAGAAGAATGAAAAATGCCATTGTTTTCCTCTTTGTGGGTTATAAACTCATTCACTTCATCAACAATTATTTTTTAACCAGAGATTGTGTGCCAGCAGCTGTGCTAAGGGGTAGAAGTGACACATGAGAATAATTAATTGTTAGAATATAGAAGGGAAAAAAGCACCTCCACAAATACCTACTAATAAAGCAATCAACGAGTATTTACTAAGCATTGACTGCACGGCAGCCATGGGCTGAATGTCAGAGATACCTAAAAAAAAAAAAAAAAAAAAAAAACCCAGCAAAAATAGTCCCTGCCCTCAAGGAGCTTACATTCTCCTGGCACGTATCAATCAATGAGTCTTTATTTATTAAGCTCTTATCCTGTGCTGAGCCTGAGGATTCAAAGAAAAAAAAAGAGAATGAAGAAAAAACTAAAAAAAAAAAAGCATTAGAAAAAAATATGGATAGAATGATGGCACCAAGCAGTGAAGCAAGTTAATGAATTATCAGGTAGCACCAGCATGAGGAATGTAATTTGTAGATTATTTAACTGAGTCATTATCTGGAGAATTGCTGGAAAGGCTCTCTGATCTCACTGAGGTCAAAGACCACCCATGCCCTTGGAGAATCCCTAGGACCTTTCCTATGGGAGGCCTTTGGGGATCTCCTCAGTTACGGATTCTTACCCCACCCCTCACCACTCATGCTAGCTATGTGTTTTGTATCTACCTGATGGTGAGGCAGCATGGTACCATGGAGGAAGTCAGACTGTAGAGGCAGAGGATCTGGGTTCAAATACCAACTTTCTTATCAACATCTGTATGATGTGGAACAAGTCACTTTAAAGCTTTGGGCCTCAGTTTCCTTAGAGACCATGGAGTTCAACCCCCCCCTTTTTTTACAGAAAAAGAAACTGAGACTCAGACAGGTTAAGTGAATTGCCCAAGGGTGCAAAGCTAGTAAGTATCTGATACAGTATATGAACCCAAGTCATCCTGACTCTAAGCCCCAACTCTCTTTCCACTGGGCCAACCAGCCCCCACACTAGGTCCGAAATCCAAAGATTTGGGTTGAAGTTTCAGCTCTGGCGTTCATTGGCTTTATACAAAACACCTAACACAGCACTTCGTAAGATCAAAGAATGGGATTCTAGACCCGGGAGGATCATTGGATAATAAGATCAAAGATATGAAGTTGAGAGAAATCTTATAGATCATCAAGCCTAATCCATACCCCCAAAAGAATCATTTTAGTTCAATAAGCATTTACTGAGCACTTGCCTGGGCCAGCTAGGGGCACTGTGCTGGGCTTGGCGTCAGGAAGACCTGAGTTCAAATCCAGCCTCAGACACTAGCTGTGTGACCCTGGACAAGCCACTTAACCCTGTTTGCCTCAGTTTTCTCATCTGTAAAGTGAGCTGGAGAAGGAAATGGCAAGACACTACACTATCTTTACCAAGAAAACCCCAAATGGGGTCACGAAGAGTAGGACACAACTGAAATGACTGAACAACAAAAACAGCAGTATTAGATGCCAGACTGTGTGAAGCACTGGAAATACCAAAAAATTAAAAAAAAAAAAAACCCAGTCCCTGCCCTTAAGGAGCTTTTCCTTGAGTAGAAATAGAACCTTCTATTAGAGGAAAATAACATGTACACAGACAACCACGGGATCCTAGAATGGCGTGTCAGAGCTGGTGGGGACCCCAGAGGTCACAGAGCGTACCCCCTGCCTCCCCATTCATTTTATAGATGAGGAAACTGAGGCCCAGGACACTAAAGGCATCTCATCCAAGGTCACAGAGACAGGACCCAAAACTGGGCTCCATGGCCAACATTGCCCTCATTATGCTACACCAGGGTTATGACGAAGCTAAAGTGGAACAACATGAAAGCCCTTTCGAAAAGCTTAAAAAATGACAACATCGTAGTGTCTTATTATACGTTGTGGACCCTTGTGTAAGCTTGAAAGCTGATCCCCACTTTGTCACCACCCACCCACACCCATACACACATTCACATACACACATCCATGCATGCACATATATACATACACACACATGACAGATGAGCATTCACATATGTGGAAAAGTACCAGATTGAAGCTTTGGCGTTTCTTCTCCCTGAAATCAGCCTCTGGGATAAAGATAACTAAGTCGTGCTTAACTCGGAAAAGGAACAGCTTCATATCAAAATATCCTGTAGGCCTGGGCTTGAGCGCACAGATTTAGTCACTCCACAAGGACACCCTCCCACGCGCGTTCCACTCAGTTTTCCTCCATGGATGCTGATTCCCACCCCATTCCAGTACCTGGTCCACTGCCCACTTCAGAGCTGCATAGGGAGATTTTCAGAATGGGTCTCTGGCTCCATCCATGGCCCAGCAAGATCACGGTGCTGTTGGGGTGCTGGAGCATGGCAGATGCATTCACCCTGCGGGGATGGATTCACTCTGGAACAGTTAGCTCTTCAGTGATGAGGGATTCAGTTTCATTCTGCCAGCTGTCTCATTTGGCACTAGAAGCCCCCAAAATGCCAAACTCAAAAATCCAACAATTTTACCTGCTCTTTTGTGGTACATCTAGTGATTGGGATGTAATAATTGACTATACCTCCAGATTTTATCAATGTTGGTACTGCCTCCACTGCAAAACGGTTGAATTTACATCCAGAGGACTTGAGTTCAAATTCTGATTTTGTAGTTTACCACTTGTTTGACCTTGGGCAAGATGCTAAATCTCCGTGGCCCTCAGTTTCTTCATTTGTAAAAGGAGAAAGTAGAACTCGATGCTGCCTTCCAGCCATAAATCTGTGATCTTACGACCCTCTGATAAGACCAAGTATCCTATCTGAGTAGGGGAAATTTAATTGTTATGGTATCCTAACCTGGAACCAAGGTGAACTTAACTGTATTTCTGAGTATGCTCATAAAATCACTATTCCTTGGCATAGATTCTGCTAGTCTGGGTGGTAGTCAAGCCATCACATCCCTGACGAACACCCTTGAAGGTGTTTGACAGTGATAGTCACCAGAAGGCCTGGACATTCTTGATGCATCACTCACTCGCTCGCTCATTTAATCAATTTGCGTTTATCTCCCTGACAACTTGCACCTGCTGTGGAATGGGGGGTGTGCTGTTGTTAAAGGATATTGAGAGAGTGACTTCTCTTTAATACAGACTGGGGTGACTTAATCAATGAGTCATTAGCCAAAATGCAGTGAACAAATTTACAGGGAAAAATGGTGATTTTCAGATGCATGAGGCAGACCAGGAAACCAATCCTTTGCCATGAAATCACCAAACCATCTCAACATCTCATCAGAACGCTTTGTAGCTTGGTAGTGCAGTGAATAGAGCCCAGGAGTCTGGAAGACCTAAGTTCAATGAGGTCTCAGATACTTACTAGCTGTATGACCCTGGACAAGTCACTTCACCTTGTTTGCCTCAGTTTCCTCATCTGTAAAATGAGTTGGAGACAGAAATGACGAACCATTCCAGTATCTTTATCAAGAAACCCCAAATGGGGTCATGAAGAGTCAAACACAATTGAAACAACTGAATAATAACAACAACAAAGTCACCACTTAATAATGGTTTTTCCCAGACTCATATGGTCTGATGTTGAGTGACGTGAGCAGAACCAGGAGAACGTTGTACACAGTAACAGCCACATTGTGCTATGACTAATATTGATAGACTTAACCCTTCTCAGCAATACAAGGATCTAAGACATCTCCAAAGGCCTCATCATGGAAAATGCTATCCACATCCAAAGAAAGAACTATGGAGTTTGAATGCAGATAGAGCATATTATTTGCTATTATTTTTCCTCTGTTGTATTTTGTTTCCTCTTTCTGGTGGTTCCTCCTATTGGTTCTAATTCTTACTTACAACATCAATAATGTGAAAATATGTTTAATAGGCATGTATATATATAGGCTGTGAGATTGTGTGCCATTTTGGGGAGGGAGGTGGGGAGGAAAAGGGAGAAAAATTTAAAATTCAAAAGCTTATGTAAGTAATTATTGATAAGGCAAAAAAATTAATAAAAAAAATGCTTTTCTCCCCACTCATTCATTCATTTATCTATCTATCCATCCATCCCTAGTACTTTGGTAGAGGCTAAACAGATAGACACCTTTCCCAAGGAAATATCATCATAATATCCACTTGCTTTCTCTTTCTGGAAAAAACAATGTCTGAGGTAGAAGCTAATCATAAGAACATCCTCTTGTTGAACTATGGGGAAAAAAAAACCCTCTGTTTTTTTCTATTTCCAACAGAATGACATTACACCCTTACATGTTGCATCAAAACGAGGAAATGCCAACATGGTGAAATTGCTGCTTGATCGAGGAGCAAAGATTGATGCCAAAACAAGGGTAAGGCTGCCATTTTGTAAGGTGTGTGCATGGGTTGGTGTATACCTTTGAGAATGAAGGTCCAGTTGTCTTCTGGGAGCCAACATGGGAAGAGCAAAATAGCAGGGTTTACTGGAAATGTCCGTCTTTGTTGATACTTGATACGTTCACGATGAAAAATTAAATTCACATTTTTTAAAGAAGTCCCTGGGCTTGAGATTCCAGGTTTGAATTCAAGCCTGGGCCCCAGCACTTAGGGCCAGTTACCTGATTTCCTCAAGCCACCACTTCCTTATGGTAAAATGGGAGAAATCAGACCTTTGTTCCCTATTTCACAGCCTTGTTGGAGGAGAGAGGATATTTGGTGAGATTTTAAGTCCTCTGTGAATCAGAGGCATTAATAATATTTCAAAATGGGTCCTGTGTTGCATTCTCCATAGACCAGGATAACTCTCTTATATTTAGAATCATAGTTCGAGAACCAGAGGAGACCCCAGACCTCATCTAGATCAACCCCATTTTATAAATAAGGAAAATGAGACCCAGGTCAGATGGGAGTACATGGCAGAGCATGGATTTGAACCCAATCCCTCAGACTCCACGTCCAGTATTCTTCCCAGAGGGCCTTTTTCCATTGACTTTTCCTAGAGAAGTTCGGTGTTGGGACCGTAGGACCTCAGAGTTGTAAGAGGCCTCAGTTGTGGCCTCCTACATCCACATTTCAAGGATCTGTGGTTCCATCAATTGGTCCTCGCCATATGCCATAGATCACAGCCTCAGTGGAAGGTCTTAAAGAGGTTCTGTAGTTGAAAAAATACATTCCCCCTGAGACCAGTCTGGTGATGTGCCTCTCTGAACTCAGCTGGCCTTAAAAATCAGGCAGACAGTTGGTTCCCAGCTGCACATTGATGATGTTGAGGGGCCAGAGGCTTTCCTGCAATCCCTTTGTGATGCTTAGATGAAAAGTGATCACCAATGGAGAGGGATGGTATCACGGAAATGGTATTTAAAAGAAGGGCATTCAGCTTTCATTACCAGCTACTTGAAGGCATCTGTAGTAATAAAAGATAACAACGAGATGCTGAGCTCCCCTCATACCCCCGTAGGACCACTTGGAGCAAAAACCCCATTTTGTGGGTAAGAGGAAGCTTTGCAGGAACAAGGCGTAAATGCAGGCGCAGTGTGCACAGATGGGACCAGGGACCAGCCAGTTCTGCTTCTTTTGAAATGCAGCCGTCAAACATGGCGGCAGCGAGCAAGCTTGTCTTTCCCAGGCCACTTTCTAAGACCATAAGTGCTCAAAGGGTGTTGAAAAGTGATTTCTCTTTAATACCCGCTGGGGTGACTTCATCAACAAGTCATTGACCAAAATGCAGTGAATGAATTTATGGAGACGGATTCACAAATGCGTTTGTGGGAAACCAGGGACCGATGTGCATTGGGAGAAGAATTTTCTCCACTGAGAGCTCCCTACGCAGATGAAACCAATGTTCTTGTTTTTGATCAACCATGACAGTGCTGTCCTTCCCTAACCCAGGCATGAGTTATTGCTGCTGCTCCTTCCTTCAATTCCTTAATTATTTCCTTAATTTTTTTTTATTTTTCATTTTTATGTGACCTTTTTTTCCAACTATATCTCTTCTTCCAACGAAAGAAGGAAAAGGGGAGAAGCAGTGTAGCAAAACAAATGAACATTTCAGCCAAATGTGACAGTGTATGCTGTAAGCCCTTCCTGGAGTCTCTGTGCAAAGAAGGGAAAGGGGACATTTTTCTTGTCTCTTGTTCACTCCAGTTACTTTATAATTACTTCTCTGTGTGGAGCTCAGATCCCCTTCAGGGCAGGGCCCATTACCTTGTATCTTCCATGCTTGAAAAGGCAGTGTACTCTACCGATAGAGCTCTGGCCTCAGAGCCAAAAAGACCTGGGTTCAAGCCTTAGAGAGATGCCAGAGCAGAGGTGTCAGACACCAGAGCCTTGTGACCTGCCATAGGAACTGGATTAAAATGTGACTGGGAAATGTTTAACAAGATAAACAAGAAGAGAGATAATAGGAGAGAGATAATGTCAATTTGTGGTTTTCTAAGTCAGCTGTGGGGCCAGAAGAGATCCTTATGTATCCCCTGCCTCTATTTGAGTCTGGCCCCACTGGGCTAGAGCCCTGAGTGGTTAAGCAAATTACCCAAAGTCGCAGAGCCTGTAGGTGGCAGGGATGCAGGGGGATCCTTGGCTTGAAAACAGGCTCTCTGTCCACCATGCCAGACTGCTTCTCATAGTATAATGATGATGCATATGTATATCACAGAGTACTTAATACTGTAAGAAGCAAAATAGTATGGTGGATAGAGAGCCAGCTATATATCAGATATATGTATATATGTATGTATGTATGTATGTATGTATATGTACATATTTACACACACTATATATCTGTATATATATGCACACATCACAATTTTATGTGTGTATGTATCACTGTGATATATATGTATATCACAGGCTACTCAATATGGTGTGGAGTATGTGTACAGTTTTTTATATGATATGTGTATATATAACTATGATATATATGTGTGTATGTATATGAATGTATGTATAATTGAATGGAAAGAAATAAGCCTGGAAGAAGACCTTGGTGGGAGCATCCAGTGAAGTATCTAATGTCTGAGGGGAGCAAGTCAGAGCCAAGGAGTGAGTTGTCTCAGAGGGTCAAAGTGAGGATAGCCACTGAGGGAAATGGACCCATCTAAGAATGGAAAGGCTTCCAGGTTTATCAGTGATTAGAAATTTTTATGAAGGGAATGGATGACCTTGGTAGCAAGGGAGGAAGAATGTGGAGTCAAAAGTGAGGGGAAACATCTCAGAAGCCAAACCAGCATGGCAGTGGGATGGTGTGAACCTTGTCAGGTGTCATCATAGGAGAGAAGAGAGAAACAGAGGTCTGTGAAGACCCACAGAGCCTTTGGAGACTAAATGCCAGCCAGCCACTGTGCTATGGGTCAGGAATAAGAAGAAAGTCGAAAACCATCCCCAACCTCCAGAAGCCCCCATCCTAATGGGTGGGGGACAACATGCAAATAACTCTGTACGTATAGGGTAAACGGGAGGAAATCTGCCAGGGAGAGCGCTGGCCCTGATCTTGCCCTGAAGCTTTGCTGACCACCATCCAGCTCCCCCATCCAGATGTGTCTCCTGTTATTAGGAACAGGATGGGGGATCATTTGCTTTTGCCCTAAAAAAAAAGAAACAGGAAGTATATTGAGATATTGGTGGGACAGAGCTGCCGCTTCTAGGCAAGATGAGTGTTCCTTAGACAAAGACCTCCGAGGCGTCTAGTCCAACCCATCCCAGAACAAAGGCTCCTTTATGCAGCATCCTCAGCATGTGGACCTCCAGTGAGGGGAAGTCCACAAGTCCCAAGGCAGCCTGTTCCGTTCTGGGATGGCTCCCATTGGGAGGAAGTTTTTATTCTATCAAACTGAAGCTTACCTTTTGGCAAATCCCACCTTTTCCTTCCACTAAATCTAATCCTTCTCCTGTGTGACAACCTACTTGAAGGTGACCATCATGCCTCCTGCCCCCAGTCTTTTCCCCTCCAAGCTAAGCATTCCCAGGTTTTCAAACCTATCCTCATATGACTTGGACACTCAAGGCCCACCCCCATTCTGGACACCCTCTGCTGGATGCTCTTTGGCTGACAAATGTCCCTACTAAGCTTTGGCGCCCATTTGGTCTGACCTGGTAGAACACAGCCAGACTATCATCTCCTTATTTCTGGAAGCTCCATCCCTCTGTGGCTGCCATTACACACTGCCAATTCATCTTGAGCTCACAGCCTATTAAAGTCCCCAAATCTTTTTCACATAAATTGCTGTCTAGCCATACAGTCTCCATCTTGTATCCATGAAACTGATTATTTGAACCCTAGTGTAAGACTTTACATTTGTTCCTAGTGAATTTCATCTTGTTAGATTTCACCTGATGTCTTAGCCTGTGAAGATCACTTTTTACCTTGACTCTGTTATCCTGTCAGCTATTCTTCTTAAATTTGTGTCACCTGAAAATTTGATAAGGAGAACCATTTACACCTTAGTCTAAAGCACTAATAAAAATGTTAAGAAAAAAAGCACAGTGTTAAGGATAGATCCCTGAAGCACTTACTAGAGACCTGCTTCCAGACTGACCTTGACCCTTTAATGGCTCTCTCTTGGAATCTAGTCATTCATCCAGTTTCAAAATCATCTAACTGTACTATTGTCTAGCTCACATCTCTCGACTTTGTCCAGAAGTATAATATAAGATGCTTTGTTGAAGTCTTTGCTAATGACTATATATGTATAACCTATATCAAATTGCTTGCCTTCTCAATGACAGGGAAGGGAGGGAGAGAATTTAGAACTCAAAATTATAAAAAAATGAATGTTAAAATTATTTTTACATGTAATTGGGAAAATAAAATATTTTAAAACTTAAAAAATAAGGTCTTTGCTAATATTTAGATAAACTATATATGGAGTGGAGCCCTGAGAAAGAGAGAGAAAGCACACATCCCTGTCCCCCCGTCCCCCAAAAAAATGTAGGAGGTGGGAATAAAGTTAGACTGGGCTGACTTTTTCTTGCAGAAGTCATACTGGCTCTTGGCCATCCCAACCTCCCTTTCATGAAACTCAGTCTCCATCTCTTTAAGGGTTTCTGTTCAACCATGGCAACAGAAACATTAAACCATATGTCCATAGCCAGTTACAGCTGCCCAAGGATCTATATTTGCTGGAGACTCAGTCCTTCTATTACTTCATGATGATCATAATTCACACTTTTATAGATTTTAGAGGTTTTCAATATGCTTTTCTCCCAATGGCCTTGTGAGCTAGATAGTACAAGGATGATTTCCCTCATGTACAAATGGGGACACTGAGACTCAAGGACCTACTGAGGTACAGTGACTTGCTAAAGTCCACCCAGCTCCCAGGTTCAGAAATTAATCTCACTTATGGGCCTTGTCTCCCACCTCCATTCAGAAAAT